AAGTGCAATGTGTTCCAGCAAAAATAGTGCACATCTTTATTAAATTTGGTGCGTCGTGCTAGTTCGGTACACAGCCTGTATAGATTCAATAAAATTTTGAATTCAAATAATGTATCATTTCCTTCCTTTCAAATCAAGGGGGTAATGTTGGCATATATAAAAAAAAATGGGGGGGGGGGGAAAAAGGAAAAAAAAGTTCCCTGACCCCTGGCTTAGAGTAACCGCCTGCCGCTGCTCCTCAAACCCTTGTGAAAGAGGACAGGTGTGAGTGTGAAGCCTATCAAAGGATAAAAAAGGGCTACCGGTGCAGATGCAGAAGCCACGGTGCCAGAGCCAAGAGACCCCTGAGCAGAACAGGCAAAGGTGTTCCATCCGACAGACATGTTTCTTTTCACTAAAGCCTGCAAAGCACCAGAACCTTCCCCTGGGACAGACAGGGCCAGAGTGCCAGCAGCAGAGGCACGAAGGTGGAAAGAGGAAACAGAGTCCTCAATGAAACATGAGACCTGGCTGCTTGTGGAACTACCTGCCACTAGAAAGGCAAGTAAAAGCAAATTGGTTTTTGAAGTCAAGCCTGATGCAGGAGGGGACGTTCAATGCTCAAAGCAAGACTAGTAACAAAGGATGCTCCCAGAAATGCAGGGAAGAAGATTATGAACCTTTTGCTCCTGCTGCAAAACACAGAGCTACAACAAAGTTGCTGAGCGGAGCAGCTTCAGTGGCAATGCCTGTAGAAAACCTTTGCCGGGCCTGGTCTTTAAAGGAATGGTCTGCCTCCCATTTTGCTTGGCTCCGAGATGGCAGGAAGGATAGTCAGGCTGCCCTAAGGAGGTTTTGGCAAGCAAAATGGGCCGGAGACGATGGATATGCTTATCCAGTATGGAGAAAGAGCTTGCTGGTACTTTAGACAAGGGGTTTATCATGGCAAACATTGAGTAGGGAAAAGGTCACATACCTGGCATCACTCTTCAGAGGATGTGAACTAACTATGTGCAGCCCAGCTGCCACCTGTGGGTGTAAACAGCAAATGTTGATAAAGGGTGCTAGCTTCACCCGCTGGGGGTTTGGACCTCCTGTGCTGACCTGGGAGTCATGCTCTTGGCCATCCCAACTTATTGGACACCCCGGTGCATGGGAAGTTACTCAATATGCTTTTTCTCCTTTGTAAGTAAACCTGGGAGTTCAGCTGTTGTTTCCTTGGGAAAGAACTCCCAATTTTACACCCAGGACAAAGGTGGTCTATACACCTGGATGTCCAAACAACAATGTTTAAATGGTGAACTGAAGTGAGATGTTTACATGTTTGCTGTTGTTGCGATGTGTCATCCAGTCACCTGTGACCTACGGGGTCCCTATGAATGAGCCCTCTCCAATTGTCTTGTCCTCAACAGCCTGGCTCAGCTCTTGCAAGTGTAAGTCTGTGGTGTCCACCTGGCACTGGGTCTTCCTCTCCTCCTGCTGCCTTTCCCAGCACTATTGTCTTTTTCAGAGAATCCTGCCTTCTCAGAATGGGTCCAAAGTAGGGCAGCTTCAGTTTCTCAACATTTTGGCCTCCAGAGATGCTTCAGGTTTGCTTTGTTCCAGGACTTGTTCATCTTTCGGGTGGTCCAGGGTATCCACAAAGCTCTCCTCCAACACCACATTGACCTGCAGCAACCACAAAATCCCTGGAAAAGAGGGCCTTGTGTGAAGGAGCAGTTTGTGTAGTCCAAAACAAGCAGCTTGAGCATGGAAAAAGACATTAAAGAAGGGCAAATCCCCAGGAAGCCTAAAAACCTATTTGGGGGGTGGGGGCATGTGCACCATTCACCAAGACACAAAGAGTGTCAGAGGAAATAGCTCAGAAGGTTTTGCTGTCCTGTGATGGGCCCTGGACATCCCTGATCTGCTGGGTTGGTGGGTTCTCCCAAGCCAGCCACACCAGGGACCCCTGAGGGGTGGGGGCACAAGGCAGGACCTGGGAATCGCCAAGCCTTGGCTGCTCACCTGCCAGATGGGAACCAGAAGGGCACTGACAGCCTGCACTTCAGTTCCTTTCTGTTCAGACTTCGGAGGGGTTGTCTGTATTGCTTGCTTGCTTTGTTGTGTTTTGCTGCTTAAGAACAAAGAGCTGGCAACTTAAAATGAGGACTCTGGACTGTCCTCCCTGAGTGGCGCACCCAGAGCTGGCATCGCACACTCTTCAGGGCCGGATTCTCACTTGCCCTGCAGCTTGAAAGGCTTCTTGGTGTTTTGCTGTCTCTCAGTCGTGAACTGGAGGGTTGTTTTGGGTTTTGTTTTTTGTTTTTTGCATTTGTCTTGTGCCTTAATGCTTTTTCTTTTGTACCCGGCCCCCTCTGGGATGCAGGGCAGTTTGGAAAGAGTGCCCTGTTTCTAAAGAAGCTGAGTCCCGTTTCTGGCCTGTTGTTGTTCTATTTATAGGCATCAGCCACAGGCCAAGAGTCTCTGGGCAGCTCACAAAGCATAGTGAGAGAATCAGAAAACACAAGATGATGACATGTGATAGTGGCTTTAAGCCACTCACGTCTCCTCAGCTGCCCTTCTTCTCCGTCAGGACCCTTTTAGGAAGGGTGGGTTGGCAAGGGTGAAGGGAAGCAGGCTTTGAACTCGCTGGGCCTGCTGGAAATCAGTAACTCCAAGGCAGCCACTCAAAGAGCAACACAGGCGCCCAGGCGCAGACAGAGATCCTAATTCATCCCTGTGCAAGAGGAAGATTTAAGATGCATCTGCAGTGGAAAAGGCTCTCCCAGGCTGCTATTTCATAAGGTGCTCTGGGAAGCTTTTCTTTTCTTTAGCCTACAGGAAGGGTCTCTTTGTATTCTTTCCTACTAACATCTCTGGTTTCAGTCCACAGTTCTTCTGATTCACAGGAAATTCAGTTTATTAATGCAAATCTGCTCTTTATGTGCACTTCAAAT